ATGAAGAAAATGCCTCAGAACTTGCATATATATCTGGGTGAAGAATTTCCAGCAAAAAAATGTGATCCGCCTATATTAGCATCGCACTCTGACGCGATATCGGAACAAATATCCCCCGCGAACAATACGAGCTGAATCACCCAACCCTGTCTTTTTCATCGTCCGTGGTCCTCCTTTTCTTTCTTTTTTTTTTTTGTTATCTCTTGTTGTGTGATATATTTCAAAGAATGGGAACTAAATTTTACGCGTTCTATTACTAGTTTGAATCGAATTGCTTTCAGAAACTGCAAAGTGCGCTAGTGAAAGATGAAGGGTTGTTCAAGCTCATATTGTCCAAGTACTACGTATGTTTTTCACTGTACATCTCCAATGACAACCTGAGACGTCTTGGTCGGCGAGTGAGGGAGGTAGGCGTCAGAGACAACTCGCTCATTCAGCTCAACGTGAAAGCTGTCCAATGATGTCCAATGGCGCCTTCTACAAAATGAAGCCGAGACTAGGCACAATCTGCCTTCCCCTGATTTGTTGTCAAACGTTGAGTCGTAGCCAAATTTAAAATTTCGCTCCTTACTTTTTACTTCCATAAGTGTACGTTCTAAAGTTTTGGGTCCTCTTCACAGCTGCAACACTTCAAGTAAATCTGCGTGCGTGCACTAACACAGTCAATCACTGCCAAAAATGGAAGGATCCTAGCCAGTGGCGAAGCTGAAAGGGAGACTATCCTAACACCATGCGATGTGCGCTCAGTCAAGGAGCAATGCAAGTCATTCGCAGATTGTCTCCGCGCAGATCGCATTTCTGTAGTCCAATTGTATTCTGCGATTTGTAATTCGTTAATCCCCCTTTTATAGCAGACATTGGCTACCCCGTGTTCTGAAGGGAAGCGAGCATTCAGGCTTTTTGGGGATGCAGCCCTACACTGGGGCAAAGACTAAAACACCAAGGGTAGTGGGGGTCTTTTTAACATTTGTGTAGGTGGCTGCGACAATAAAGGCCCAAAAAGACAAGAAATAATTCAAACTCAAGGCTGTTGCTTTTTTTTCAGCGGAGTTGTTAAGGGCTAAGTTCCCCCGGATTGTGTCCGTGTATGTTGATACAAACCTACCTAGGTTTGTATCAAGCACACAACCAGTATGGTTTCCGCCGTCGCTCATAGATGACGGTAACCTTTCCAGCTATATTAGGAGATTGGATAGTTGGAAGCATTGGGTGGGAATTCATCGTTGGAAGCAGCGCGAAAAACAGACGGCGACGAAGAAGCACACAGTGCATCGAGTACAGCTCCGCTGGTCTTCCTTCTTCACGAAAGTGGAAAGGCTGATCTTTTTTTTTTTTTTTTTTTTTTTTAATTTGACTAACGACAATGCAACTCACTTAGGTTTGAGACAATTCTCCATGGGTAGTATCATCCGTGCACATTGAAGCTTGACTAGGTAAATAATAACTCTTCAGCCCGAGCAGTATCTGAAGCTTCCAGAGCGATTAAGACATTTTTTCGGGTCCTTAAAAAAGGCGGATGACGAGTCAATATTTTAGCAGTGTAATTGCGCACAGTGGTATTACACGGTTCCCTAAAATCGTTTTTTTTTTTTTTTTTTGAGGAAAATGTATTTACGCAAGTGATACGTCCGTACTCCTGCACCTCGTTTAAAGAAGCAGGATACGGGCGAAAGGCACCGCTAAACATTCTAAAGCCAACAAAGAGTATAGTAATAAATTAGTCACGTTGGTCGACATCACAACGATTATATGGTTTGCATTAATCAGGCATATATCATTCTGCGAGCGTTTTCTCTGTCAACAACTGCAATAAAGTCGATAGCATGTGGCCAGAAACACAGATCGGGTTCCGCATGCGACTTAAGTGCTCCAATATCTCCGCATAGCTACCAGTCGTTCTGATTTATAATTGGGAAATTGTTAAGTGATGACGCCCTGCCACTGGAAAACATGTGGATTTCTCGAAACTTGGAAATCTCTTGAAACTGCCCATTTTCCGTCAAGTTGCTGGCCGATGAAGTGATGAAAACGTACAGAGAAGGGAAGGACGATAGTTGAAGTACGGAAGGTTACAGCGCGCATGCTTGGTCCGTCGCTGTGATGGTGTCGCTTTATTGTAGAATAATTTGTCTAGCTGCCTTTATACACCAACTCATGTTTACAAACAAACCGGAGCGCCCAGAGCGCCCCTAGCGGACGCCACCGGCGCCGCGCATGCGCGATGGGGGTGTGGGCAAGAAGCTCGCCGTCGCCCATAAACAAACCATTGAAATACGATGTTGTCCGCCTCGGTGTGAGTCCCCGCGCTCTTTTTCGCGTTGGAATTGTTGATTCTACGTCCTCCTAACGATATCTGACTACTTCAGCGGCGTCAGCGAAATTAACGAGGCTCGTTACACCGCAAAACTTCGCGTAAATAATCTGACATGCGGCGATTCATTCCGCGTAGACGCCGCAGAATGTACGCTAGAGCCTGATTCACATGATGACATTTCGCTCGCAATTTTCAGTAGCGACGTCGCTCGGACTGCAAAAGCGTGAACCGTAGCTGAGATGGTCGACGTCGGCACTGAAAATCGCAATCAGAATCTAACCAAGTGAATCAGGCGTAACAAGTCGGTGATGGCCACTGGTAACAATGATCAACATCTCCTTGTATCTACTGTTTACGTCGAGCCTGCTTACCAACCTTCAAACTCAAGCCTTTTGAGGCCTGCACTTACTTCTTATCGCAAGTACCGGGCCCACGTTATGTCTGCGGGCCGGTGCCCTCTAAAAGAGCAGACGACAAGCAGAAACGTTTGAAAGAGCAGACGACAGTTCGAACGATCAGGCGACCGTTTGAACTTGAAGACGCACTGAACGTAGTCCGCAGGTGGTCCGTACAACTTGACGGTTTTCCGGCGTTCATTTTGGAACAAAACAAATAAATCAGATGGCCAGAAGTATCCGTGAATTCAACCCAAAATGCTTCCCGCCCAAACAATCGTGGTCCGACGGCGTCTGGTTTTCTTTTTTCACGGCACATATCCACGTTCTCGGACGAACTGAGCGCATGAGAACTGACCTTCAAGCCTTTCTCGACCCTTTTGGTACAGCCCCAGGCGCAGCATTTTGACAAGAAGGCAGGTTTTTGTCTGGTTTCTTACAAAACACCGCAGGAATACACGTCTCAGATCGGCACTTCCGCCCACAGCCCCGGACCGGAAGTGCGTCCGACGCGCCACCACCGCGCCGTGACGTAACAGAGATGAGTTCGTGTATAGTTAACACCTCGATGAGGAACGAAGACTTCGCGTCACAGGAGTAGTCTAGTTAACTGAATATTTTTAGGGTAAATTATTTTGCACTATTCGTGACGTTTCTGCAACAGATGTCGGAGATGCAGCCAACACATGCGAGAAGACTGCTCTCAGAATGAGCTCAAAATTAACTCGAACAACAGAAACGCACCACAAGGGATGCTAAACTTGGACGTGGATTGTGGTGATTGCTGTGGCTTAACTGGGATTGGCATTTTTTATTCTTTATTATAATTGGCTTTGTGGTTTTTGTGCGCTATGCTGGTTGGTATTATATGTAGCGACGAGTGCTATAAACTAATCTCGGCATCAGTTTGCACCTTCCCGCTCAATTTTCGATCAATGCCCCGACGCTTTACACCGAACACGCACCTTGATTTTCGGATAGAAGTTGTTTTTGTTGCAATCTCCCCCTCGAAGTCACTCAAAGATCCCACAAAGGGTGCCTTTTCTCTTTCATCCTCCCGCAATGAGCTTTTCTTTACCTTTCCTACTGAATTTCCTTAATTGTCCAATTAAGCAAAAAGTCGTCGGCGTTGACCCCGAAAAATAGTAACAAAACTACGTCAAGAAGCACAAGCTTCAGAAATAAAACACACAAAAAAACAAAGCAACGCAGATGCTTTGTCACGGCAGCCCTCGGGGGCGCTCAAAATCAAAACGGACGCGCCTCAGAAAAAAAAAAAAAACACGAAGAAAAGCATAGCACAGCAAGTGCTTCGTCACGGAAGCCGTCGTGAAGCCTGCGGGGTTCGCCGCGCCTGCGCAGTGGGGGATCATGATGTTCAGAGCATCGTGTGCAAAAGAAAGACGTGAAGCCCCGCTTGTACGAACGCGCCGCGGATACGAATGCTTTCGCATTATTACACGTGAGCAGTCTTGAGTGTCTCCGTTTCCTCCCATCCAAGAGCAATTTTTTCCGTCTCTGGCGCCTCCGCAGGCTGTCCCCAAATTCTCGTTCCTGCACTCCCGCACGCTTTACTAAGCAAAAACGGAAAGCAAAAGTTATAAAAAAAAATTTAAAAAATTGATTTTTTTTGCGTGCCCCCATTTAGCGGTTTTCTTTGGACAGCCCTCCATATACCTGTGCGGAAAATGGGTGCCCGCCAAAGGCATTATACGCACGATTAGGCTAAATCGTATACCTATATAGTGCACTGGTCGACACGAGCTGCTTATCGCTCCGGCTCAGCGTCGCTTAGGGCGGGACCTTGATACTCCGCTTCAGATCAAGTCCGAACGCAGACAACGCTACGATCCGACGGTGCCAATCAATCAGTGCCAGGAGTGTATCGTCGTGGTTGTGCTCGTCGCCTTCGTGCGTTTGCTACCACCGGTGAAACCAATCGCGCGCACTGAATGCGCCGTGACCCTGCGCTTTTGTGCGTAGCTGGTTGCACGACGAGCGCCCTAGGATGCACTTTGGGCTTTGTTGGATTAGCCGCATAAAATCATGGCGTTGGTTGAGGTCGGACCTGACGTAAAACGGAACGTAAAATTGGTTTAGCATCCAACGGTAATTACAGATAACGTTGCACTCGATCGTGCGTGCTCCATGGACGCATTATGGCGCGGGTGAGTCTCCCAGTGTCGTAGAAAGAGTGCAGCGTTGTCAGGAAGGCAGAAAATTGTCGTATAACTCAAATGCGGAATGCGGTACATGAAATCCTCGGCACGCGCCGTGTAAGAACATCTCACCTGAGAAGTTCACCTCCCATGTTCCTTATTAACGCTTGCGCAATAAGGGCGTAGAGCCTTCGAGAATTGTAGGATACCAGATCGAGTCGATCCTCGAACCAGCTTGGGATGCTTAAGCCGTACTCCTTCTGAACCTGTATGGCGTCGAGGCCTTCTAGAACCATGGTTGCGTCACTCAATAAAGAAAGTCCGAGCTCATGTGCGGCTCTAATAAGGAACCAGGTCAGGTCCAGCAAGCCGCTCAATGGATCCAGCAGCTTGGATAATTGCTTCTTGATTTGAGGCTCGCAAATTAACCTGCCGAAAAAAAAAAGAAGGTTCAGTGGGTGGATAAAAGGGGGCGTTTCATTCTAAATCTACCAGACTTTTTTTTAAGGGGGGGAGAGTTAGATGATGAGTGCCGTTTTCACCGTGCATTTATCGAGCTCAGCGGACGTTATATGAAAAAATTATGGGCATGCTAGGTTGACTAATGAACTAAGTTACGTTGATCAACTTTAATTATTGGCTTTAAGGGCCATGTTGCAGTTGCCTATTGACAATCACTATTAAAGTCCAGGCAAATTTGAATATTTTCCGAAAAGGTAATGTTTTTCTTAGACACTAATCGATAAAGTTTTCGCGTTGTTCCTCGGATTCAAAAGTTTTCGCTTAAAGCAAGGGCACAATCAAGCACTTCCCGCAATAACTCGTCCGATTTACCCGCACTTTTTGCACCTGTGCAGAAAAGTGTAGGGCAGTGCACTTCTGGTACGTGTATTGAGATACGACCGGAAGTACACCACCCTACACTTTTCTGCACCAGTGCAGGAGGTTCACGGGCCGAGTGGTCTAGCGCACACCAGCTCGGAGCACGTGGAGCGAAAGCTCGCGCTGCAGAACCCAGGGATCCTGGGTTCGAGCCCCACCCCTGCCCGTTTCGATCTGGATGAGCATCGTACCGGCGTGCGGTCGTGTATCACTACTGCGTGGTGCGCGTTAAAGACCCCAGGCTAGCGGTGGACCGCACTGGCTAAATTTCTCATCTACGGCTGGGAGACTCGTCGCCCATGTGAGGCAGACCAAATTTTAGGCTGTAAAAACAAACACACAACCCATTTTTTTTTTTTTTTTTTTTTTTTTTTTTTTGCAGGAGGTGCAAGTGAATCGAACGAGCTATCCTGATGCCTAGAAGAGTGACATATTGTCGTTGCGCTCACGTCGTCACTGGTGTCGTGGATGCACCCGCCAAGGACACGCTGCCGAGATAGTGGCCACAGGATTGAAATAATAACGCCACTTTTCCGAGCGTCAGTGTGGGTGGGACTTTACGAGCTCTTTCTGAGCATAGTTTTTAAATCCGGACAAAAAACACGAAAGTTTATTAGTTAATATTTAAAAAAAAAACATTTTCGCTTTTTTTTTTAGTTGGTGTGGTATTTAATAGCAACTGCCGTGAATACTGTAATTCCACCATGACTCAAAGAACCAAAAATTAAAAGTTAATTGAGAGATTTTTGTAAATTAGTCAACTTACCGTGACAATTATCCCCTCATGCAATGCCTGCCGAGCTTGATAGATACGTAGCGAAGGCAAAACACGACGTACTCATACCCCTATATAAGACGCTATGTTCGAATTAAAACGAAGTACCCTATTTACCAGTTGCAGAGTAAAAAAAAAGTAAAAAAAAATTACATTCTTTTTTGGATCAAATACAGCAGATGTTTTTTAAGCTTAGATTTTAGCTGACTGGTGAAATTATATTATCAGTATTATGCAGGCAACAAGCAGTGCAATTATTGCTGCTAGCCACGTTTTATTTTGTTTTTGTCTCTGTTACTCTTCGTGCTTAATGCAAGGCACCGCGTGTGTTCAGCACATCACGCATCAATGCTTAAGCAGGCCGGTGCATTATGCATTGGTGTAAGCGGATTTTTTTTTTTTTTCGGAGACGGAGGACGGGGCTGGGAAGCTGTTTCATATAAACATGCTTAGGCTCACTTCACAACTTCAGGTACACCGACGGGCTATTGAAACCAGCATGCATATATACTTTATCTTTCCGATCTTTTTTTTTTTTTTTTCATTTTGATTATGAGGCGTTTTATTTTGTCTCGCCAGTTGCGTTGCTTCCTATCGATATTTAAAGCCGAGTGAGACGTATCATAGCCTTCTCTATACTCACAAAGCCTGGCAGTTCGACGACGGAGCCGTAGATTGCCCGGTCCCAGATTTCGAGCGCGAGGATCTTTTAGCACAGAGCATCAAAGAGCCATTTCTCGGGGAACCTGAACGTCAGCGCACAGCTTTTGCAGCGGCGAGAGCCCGAAACAAACTTTTCGGGTACTCGCTTTTGCATTTCGGCGTCTCGCCACAGCAGGGCGTCAGTCACGTGGCTCTCCTCTCATCCGCTGTCTGCCGCTCCACCTCTTCCATTTCGGCGGCCGGTTCTCGTGGCGATCTGCCACGCTTTGTCAGTATATACGGAGCTATGGGCATATACATTATTCTGACAATTTAAGCAAGTTTTTTTTTTTTTTTTTTTTTATTTGCACTTGCCTACGTGAGACATATGCTACAGTTAGTTATGATAACTAACTTTTTGTTTCGCTTACTCCGCTCAATAAGTATACTTACCGGAATATCATAACTACACTCTACACTCAAATTTAACAAATCTATACTGTAATTTAGGTGTTCTATATTCTACATTTAAATTTAAAATCGATATGTTTAGTGTTTTAAAATTTGAAAAAAGCTAAAAATATTTCATCGTTTGTTTTTATTTTTATTTTATTTTTTTTTTGCCGCTTACTCTACACATAAGACCTTCTTTTATGGAGCCAGTTTGTCCTTGTCTAAAAACTATTTTTACGTTTTTTTCGCCCTTACTCTTGAAGCAAGCGTTGAATCAGAGCTATGTTATTCATTTAAAACACAATAACAATTTCCAGAGTTTCTTTTTTTTTTTTAATATTACTACAAATCATATCCTTGCTAAAATACATAGTCGAAAATTAATATATCATTCACAAATTCTTTTTTGAATAATACTGCGAATCATATCCTTGCCAAAATACATAGGCGAAAATGGATATATTATTCAGAAATTCTCACATCCTTCCATTGGCTGTTTTCAGCCGCTCTTTACTAGAACTAATTACGTAACAAGTTACTGGACTTGACTATGTCCATATCGTAAGAAGGGTTTTAGCCCCCCCAATTATAAGTAACAGCACGTGCCAGCCTGCGCTTCCTTACGTATACTTATCGTTATGCTCGGGCATTCTTGCCAGATTGGATTCATCGGGCGATTTGGACGGGTAGAGTTCCTCTAGCAGAAGAAGTGCACTCATGACGCACCTGCCAAGCAATTAACAAAGGGCGTTAACTTCTTATCCTTACATCCTGTTTCGCTGCAGTTTCTTATACAGGTTAAGAGTACAAGCAGAAGGGTATTTACTTGGGCTAGTTGGTGGTACATTTCAGGATTAAAAGCGCTAATAAACGAGGACCAAAAAAAGGAGACATACACACAGTAGAGCGCATTTGCACCTAAGGTTTGATCTGACTTACACCAAAGAAGAAACATGTATGCCCTATCAGCAACCATCCACGTCATGTAAATACGTTGTCCAATAATCTACATATAATCTTTCTGGTTTGAGCTAACAAAGGACTGTACATACGCCATGTCCAAATCGTACAATGCTATCGATGGGGCGCTAATGCACGTTTCGCCGTTGCAATTCCTTATGAAAAACGCCTCCGAAATTTCCCTAGTCATTTTGTTACGGTTTCTGCTCAGGATAACAGTTTCTAGAAGCTTTGGGCTGCAATCGCATCGGTTGTAGTGCATCGCAAGATTACCCGAGGGCGAAGATCTTACTGCCAGTTCGTGTTTCCTTAGTCTGTCATTAACGTACCATCCGGTTTGTCCTTTGCTAACACTCGCACACTTTAAAAGTATTCTATAAACCACCCTTCCTTGCACAATACGGTACAAACAATAACGATTATGCCTATATTGAAGCATAATCCTATATGGAATGAGTGTGGTCATTAATTGGTTTGAGCCGCCGGAAATGAAGGGGCTTGAATGTCCGAATGGAGGTTTGGCGAGTTTGAAGAGAGTTCTCTGGGTCAATCACAAGGCGAAAATATCCTTAATATGGTGGTAGTGAGAAAGTACCCTAAATTCCAATCGGCCATATATTGAGTTTAAGGCGCTTGCTCTCGGCGGCTGAAAATTGTTAAAGTCACGTGGTGTTCATGGGACGGGCGTGCTAACGGACAGAATAAACGAATCTATTGTGCGATGGCCAGCCTCTTTTACACCTCTGTCAGACAGGCTTATTGAGTGTCACTTTAAGGAAGTACACTTCACGCTTAGTATAATTCTAGTGGTGTGCCACACTGCTGAAGAGCACACTCTGCTTCAAGTTAGTTTGACGAACTTCCGTCACTCTATTGAGTGTGCATCATCTCTAGCTGTGTTTCTAGAGCAGAACATAACATCGAAGCAAAGAAAGTTGCGTAAAAGTAATTTTACTTTCTTCTGAAACGAATTAGAGAGAAAGGAAAACGAAAGATAGGTGTAGTTACAAGAACAGTGTGGAGGACTTAAGCTTACAATTTAGGCTGAAAGATACCGAGATTAGCGCCGCGGTGACCGAATACAAGACGACAACAAAGACATTCTTAACTAAACGAGACAGGGGAAAAGGAAGAAACAAACACAGCGAAGTATAAAAACGGAGCTGCAAAATTTATTCACCCGGAACAGAATCTTACATAGACGCAACTCGTCCCCGCCTTGTAGAAGACATCCGACAACCCCACAAACAAGGAAAGTGGGACCGACCCATCCCCTCTTATTTCGACAAAGAGAGTCGTGTCAATTCTCTCTTGGGTAGCAGAAAACGATACTGCCTACTGCAGTTTCAGCATACAGCTCTACGAGACAACACGAACACCATGGCCTAACAACGCAGTGTGAGATCTCAGATTTCTGTGAGACGAGGCGTCTGGGAAATACGTATTTTTGCGTCGGGGCATCGGTGCTCCAATGGAACTCGATGCCCGTCTCACTACGGGGCCAAGGGCTGACAGAAGGAGCGGTGCCTGCGCGGTTCATCACAGCCATGTTAATACGATGATTCCGGTATCCAACAGCGTTTATTGGGGAACAATTGGGCCCATAACAACACACTACAGTCGAGCGAGCCGCGGACACAAGGTTCAAAGTAGTAGTTGCCGGCCGACGTGAGAGAAAGGGTGATCGCGAGTGCCTGATCGTCGGCCGGACGACCTCACGCCACGATCCGGATCGTCGCCTGAGTTCAACCCAGAGCTCCGGCTGATGACAGCTGCCTCACCGTGCCAACTCAGACAAGAGAGGGCCGCCGCCCGGCGGCCAGCGCGATATATCGTTGTACCTCCCGAGCGGCGAGAGACTGCCGTAGGAGTGCGAGAAAGATGGGCACCAAGGTGGCGACCTCTCCCTAAAACGGCCGTCGTCGCGTCCGTGGTGAAGGACCTGCTCGGAGGAGGAGAGCAAGTTACTCCCACAAACGGAGCGCCAAGGGTGGATCTGCTTCTTTTAATGCGAAATTCTTAACTCTCCCATGGAGCGTACCGGCGTTATCAGCTTTTGAAGCCGCGCCAAACGGCACCTAAATTCCCCTGCCCTATATGGACCGAAGCATGTAGTCTGTAGCAGCGAATTGATGGATAAACTCCTACTGGGTGGCGCGCGGCATAGTTCCAAGGAAAACCACCCCACGGTCCATGGCGCTGCCGCTTGCGCCGAGAGGAGCACAAGGATCAGAAGAGGCCGCGGCGCGAAGAGCGACATCCATGCTTTCGCATTCACAACTCGTAATATCTGCTGAGGTATGCTCAAAATTTTTTTTAAATCGGCTTTCTTGACTTGTGACGATCAATCCGATGCATAAAATTGGCATAAATATTATTCATTAGCGTTCTATTTCTGGTAATATTGCCGCGCGCAGGGTCACGGACTTGTAGAAGGTTCTCGTTTATTCTGGCTCCGGACATAACTTCTATCGTTTATCCCTGCTTTTGTTGTTCTAGAAAGTGCGTGTTCATTCTCGACCCGAGCGCGCTACGCTCGAACTTTTTCCGCCGAATCTTCGAGATATAGTGACTCACTCTAGAAAAGAGGCCGCCCGTGACCTTGTCGAGTCAGTTTGGCCCCAGCGTTCGACTCTGCTGTCACGCCGACTTCGACGCCCGCGACGCTTTGCTTTCTTCTGCCTCGTTTTTATTTTTGGGCACAAGTTCGCCCCATTAAACATTTCAGTTTTCCCCAGTTATTCTTTGTTTCGCCTTGTCATTCGTGACGATATGGCTTTAGCGGAGAGACGAAAATATTTCCAATGTACTTTCGCATATGGTTTAATATTTTACGTACCTATAGTACATGATATATTGATATATAAATCTTTTTAGTGATACTAATTTTCCTGGTGTGGCACCGAGATACTTGAAATGACTGACTTAAATTATACATATAACGTGCATCATGCCATCCTCTCTGCATACCTGCAGAAAGCAATAAAAATGTATTATCATAAATTCTTCATTGTTGTATTTATTTTAAATTGTTCCTGTTGCATTGCAAGTTTTTTGGGGGAGCTATGTACAAGTGGTTTTGCAGTTCGCATGCTGCTATATTTGTTTGCTATGGGCCTCTTGCGCTGAAGCTTTGAACAAACTATGGCGCCCTCGTTTTGGGTAGTACAAGCTCCCCTGGTTGGTACTCCCACTATTATGGCGCCTTCGCCGTGATTTTTTTTTCCTTCTGTGTAGTACAGAAGTACGGAAAAACACCTTTGGACGTCCAAAATCGGCTACATTCAACGCCGCAAGAAAATCGAAAGTTCCAGATTCATGCCACCACCGCTAGGGTACGCGTCTCGTATCTCAAAGTGGTGACGTTCGAACATCTGGCGTCCCGACGTTTTTGTTTTTTCTTCTCCTTTATGTTTTTTGGTCAGGCGTGATACGGCGTTTTTTGGTTCACGCTCTTATCGTCCTAGCTTTGGCCTGTGCTTCGACGGCGTTGGCGTTTTTCCTTGTTTTTTGTTTTTGTTTTTGTTTTTTTCATTTTCCTCGTTATCGTCTTCCGCGTCAGAGCAGACACGCTTCTATATGTGTGGCAGTTTGAGTCGCCTCAAGTTTGTACTACCAAAACCAATTACTAACAAGTCATTTTTCGCAGCGCCTCCTGGGCAACGCAGGAGGCCTATATTACAGTGGCTTCCACCCTAAAAAAAGCCCGTGCGTTCACTTTCCCGCACAACACTCGGAGGGCGAATCACCGCAACTTACGGAGGCAGCTCAGCGAATGACGATGCCGAAACATATGTTTAGACCAAAAAACGCATTCTGAGTTGTGACATTAAGCAATGCAAGACGTCACGCTTGCATTGCTTAATGTCACAACTCAGACTGCGTTTTTTGGTCTAAACATATGTTTCGGCATCGTCATTCGATGAGCTGCCTCTGTAAGTTGCGGTGATTGGCCCTCCGGGTGTTGTGCGGGAAAGTGAACATACGGGTTTCTTTTAGAGTCAAACGTGAAAACAGCGCAAAAAATTGAACAAAGGACAAGTGAAAGAACTGCACAGACAAAGCGCTGACTGTCAACTATACTTCGTCTCACCCTACGATGGACTAAAGGCAAAAGCTACGGACCGCCAGATCCAATCACGAGCCACTCAGAAATTGTGCGGCATTTTGCTTCGATGCACGTATCGGTGCCCGCGTCTCGGATCACTGATAAGGGGACGGGTGGACAGTTGTTCGAATCGAAGAGCACTGAGTGACTCAACAATATTACATCGCAAAGAAAGCCACGACATAGGCTCTTTGCAGCGTCGAAGCTATAGAAATTTTGGAGCGCTTTTGGATTCGAGCATTATTCGTCCACCCCTAATCCATGCTAAGCGTGTCAAAGTATAGCGCGGAACGTGATTAGACCTGGCGGCCCGTGGCTTTGGCTTTTAGTCCATCGTAGGATGAGACAAAGTATAAAGTTTAATTTTCAGGCGAACCAGAAAAATAAACACAGAGCATAGGAAAGAACCATGCACAGTAGGGGTTGTGTATCAGATCCCCTTCACATGTGGTAGGGTCTACATTGGACAAACGGGGAGGTGCGTGAACGTGAGGGCGAAGGAGCATTCTTTTAGGTGTGGCTGCGTACCTGTATTCCATGACTTGACGATCTTGGCGCGCAATAAAAGTAAGACCGCCAGAGAGATTGAAGAGGCATTTTTCATTTTATCTAAAGGAGAAGGGGAATGTGTGAGCGCACCGTCGGTGCAGTTGGGGGA